TTATAGTATGTTGTATATTTTAATATGTATTTTATAATATTCAATCATATTATTTCAAAAATATAAATATTTAATAAATAAAATATTTTACATTCACATAAAAATCGAACATAAAACATAAAAAATTGAGATTTGATATATAAGAACATAATGACCCAAGTTTGAGCCTCATTTATAAATTTTAGGAGACCAAAAAAGTAAATTGTCACTTTTTTGGTTTGAAATTACACATCAAAAAAAGAATTTTAAAAATGTTTGATTTAAAATGAAATTACACATCAAAAGAAAAAAAATTTAAGATTAAAAATGAAAATGAAATAAAGGAAAACAAAGAAGATAAAAAATAAGGTAATAATATATAAAATAATATGTAAATAAATAAATATAAAAATCTAATAATATATATATATATATATATAAAGTAATTTGTAATAAAAATAATAAAATAATATATATATTTTTAATATAAATATATAAAATAAAACGAAATTAATAAAATGATTATTGAGGTGATGTTTATGAAAAATGTTGATTGATACAATTTCCAAGAAAAAGCACACCTCCTACCAAGGGGTGCCATTAGCACCCCCTTTTTATACCTTTTAGAACAACACAGAGGAGTTTGATCTCAACTCTTCTCTAACGAGTAAATAAGAATCTTCATTTTTTTTTTCAAGAAACTAAAATATTTTGTGTTCTGAATGGTCTAAATTTTATTTTCAACTGAAGAAATTATTGAGATGCTTATTGAGGGACAAAATATCTAGATCACTTGGAGGTGAAGTAGTTAAGAATGAAAGGCATGTTCACCGGCCTAATGGCCTCTACATCTACAATCAAGGTAGAGACAATTGGGGACTTGACTCCTGTATGTGTTGCATAGAAAGAAACTCTTAATACAACATGTGAATCATCAAGATCTCTAATATATCTTGCAAAAATTTGAGATTTAAAAATTGAATGTAACTTGATAGAACTTTTACATCCCGTTGCATTGCACGGGTACACAACTACTATATTGTTAAATATACACCTATACTATGAGAACATATTTTTTACATTCCTAATACATGAATTGACTTAATTCTATCATAAATGAGATGCAAATAGCCTTCCTCTTACATTTTTAATATATGATATGATTAGACATGATTTTGAAAAAAATGAGTGTATATTTGCCAATTTAATATATTAAAACCCAACCCAACGCGAAATAACCGAATCCGAAGCGAACCAAGGCCGAATCGAGTTGTAAAATCTTTAGACCATACCTAACATAACATGATATTCTTTTACTTTTTAGATTTAATATATACACCATCACATATCATTTTTTTTTTCAATCTCTATATATGTCAAAATTAAGTCAATGATATACTTAAAAGGAGTAGAGATAAGCTATAATAAGTAATTGATTGATGAAAAAAGAATCATAAGAGAGAAAACAACATATTCAAGGTAACAAACTAAACTGTATGATTTAAGATGAGTTGAGATTTTTCTTACGGCAAACATTTGAGTTGATTATTCAAATGTTTTTAATACGATCAACCCAACTCAACATCCATAGTTATCCATTCCAAAAGGTCTTAATATCTAACCGTTTAAGATTATTTTTAATTAAATATTAAATAGATAAATATTAATTTGAATAAATTATAATTACAAAAAAAATCTAACAACCCCAACTAATCCAAATTAAATAATAAAACCTACAATAAATTATACAACATATGGGTTTCTTGTGCCATCGTCATCTTCCTCGTCAGTAGCCGGTGGGAAACTCACACTTCCCAAAATCTGCACACAAACACAGATAAAAATTCAATTAAAATTTCTTTTATTTATGAAAATAATACAAGAAATTGTGAAATTATCCAAATTTCAAAATTAAAAAACTATATAAGAATAATTACGAGTGGAAAAAAAAACATTTTATTATTATTTTTATTGATAAGAGTTTTTGAAAATTAAATGTGTAAAAGAAAAAATAATATTTTATAATAAAATATATTAATAGTCAACCTATCTGTCAACTTCATGCACGTGCCATGGACCTCCATCGGACTGTAAAGTGTAAACTATGCACTTTTTCTGCTGTTATTTTAGAAAATTGTTTTTTAATAATATTAGGAAACATAAGTAATTAGTTATGGGATTTTAATGAACCTATTTATTATTGAAAGCAAGCAGGGAGGAGTGAAATGGTACGTACTGGGTGGCTGAGTGACTACGTAGGCCGCCCCACCAAAATAACACGCGCCAGACGCGCGTCCCATCTTCTGGTAATAACTATTGAATGCAAACGATGCGTGTGCCTGTAGAGTGTTAGGATCGTAACACGTGGATCCAGGTTGTATCGGACGGCAATCAGCACCTCCTTCACCACATGCATAATCCAAACTCGACTGCAGCTTATCTTTTCCAACATCCCTTGCCACACACCAAGACTCACCCGACCCGTTTCCACCTTTCTTAACCGGATTTGAAACACTCACTCGACTACCATCACCATCACCGCCGGTCACCGGCGAACTCTCCGACCTGTAATTCTTCAGATCCTCCACCGTGAAGGGAATGTTGTAAACCTTCTGCATATTCGGATAAAACAACCCGTAGTTTCGCTCCGATGTCGGTCCGGTCTTCTTGTTCTCGTTGAAAAGAGCGAAGAGGAAAACTGTTAGATTCGCTTTGGGACGAAGAGGTGTTCCGCCGCCGGTGAGGATTCTTTTGATTAGGTTACCATTGTAAGCGGCGGCGTTTTCTACGCTAGCTCCGATCTCGTTCTCGTCACCTTTTGACGGCCAACCAGTCTCCGAAACCACCAACGGGATGTCATCGAATTTCAACGCCGACATCGCAGCAAAAACAGCGTCGATCTGAGCGTCGAAGAGGTTGAAGTAGCGTAAACCGTTGCCGGCGTCCGGAACACCGGGGTTCTGACGGAAGAGTGAGTAGTCGAGAGAGATTACGTCGGAGTTTGACTCGTAAGCAAAAAACGGATACGCATTAACCATTAAGTAAGATCCAGTCTGCCGGAGGAATTCGAACATAGGTTTGAAAACTGGTTCGATAAGTTCGGGTCTGAAAGATCCGGCCGAAGACGGGTACGAGTTTTGTAGAGCGCTTAAAGCAACTGGTGACGAGAGTTTGATATCGGAATGGAGATTATATTTAACGATTGCTTGATGTATATTTTTCATGGCGGGAATCAGAAATCCAGTGGTGTTTTTAGGATCAACGAACACTTCATTGCCGACGGCAATGGCTTCGATCCGAGTATTTGGATAGTAAGCAACCACGTTCCGTCGGACCCATCCGTATGCAAATGACCTTCTTCTGGCGGCGGCGTAAAGGAACTCGTTGGGGAGGTTCACTGTCACCTTAATGCCAGTTCCGGCCAGCGATCTGAGCACAGCCGGATCAGTATCGTACACCTTAACCCGATCGATTCCTTGAGATTTGAGTAGCTTCACAACTTTGGAAGCAGACGGTAGATCTCCAGCTATTCGACCATAGTTTACTCCGATTGAACCTCCATCTGCAAAAGAACAACATCCATAAAGAACAATCAAAATCGATTGTGTTTTTAACAAATGCAGGACAATCATAGTTTCAAATCTACAATGCACATTAAAACCAACTATTAGAATCAATACTGGCAAAAACGATCTCAATTAATGCTGTCCATAACAAATGTAGAGCAGTTGATCACTAAAATCCGCATCAAACCAACAATCGAAATCCATATCAGCAGAACTAAACAAAATCAACGAACATCTGGCAAAAACAATTTAATTCAGTGATTTCCGTAACAAATGTAAAGCAGTTAATTACTAAAATCCACATCAAACCAACAATCGAAGTCCATATCAGCAAACTAAACGAAATCAACTAATATCTGGCAAAAACGATCAAAATCAATGCTGTCCATAACAAATATAGAACAACTAATCACTAAAATTCACATAAAACCAACAATCAAAATCAATATCAGCAAAACTAAAACAAAATCAACGAATATCCATAACTACAAAACTGAATGACACAAGCTGAAACTGGAAGTGGTGAATGGATCGTAAGATGTGAATCATGAGTGCCATAGATCATGAAGATTACTAACCTGCAAGTGAGAAAATGGCGAGGAATAAGATGGAAACTGAGAAGAAGAAGAGGAGGTGTGTCGCCATGGTTGATTGTAGTAGCAGAGGGAGATGCGAAAAGCAGGAGTGGGGAAGAGAGTGTTTTTATAGGTGGAGGAAGGGTGTGTTAGTGGGTCCCAAGTGCCAACAGTAGAATATGGCCGTTGATCTCCTACAACGAATGGTGACCGTTGGATTGATAAGATAATTTCGACATGGGCCCAGCTTTTCAGAAATTCGACCGTTCATATAGGCTGACAAAAAGACCAATCTGCTGCGAAGTTGGTGTACGCTATTGCAACGACCACATTATTATGGAAGTCCTGCACAGATCTGAATCCACGTGGAATGGTTGTCTGATCTGATCCGTTGATTGTGAGTTTGTAGGAAAGATGGGTTTGTTGAACGGGAAGTTGTTATTTTCTCATTCCGGCACATGGAAGATGTTCCTGGTCGACTCTTTTTTATTTTTAATTGAATAATTCTAATATAAAAATATTAAGATATCTCCAACAGTTTTTCTAAAATAAGTATATATATATGGTTGAATTCATGTGAAACTAGTCTGTTTTTATAAGATCTGTAAGATCAATTTTTTATATTTGAAACTTCACAATAAAACACTGTGAAGATAAAAAAAAAAGTCGAATCTTCATATTGTTTTGCAGTAAACTTTCAAGTGTAAAATATTTTGAAACGTTTCCATATATTTTTAAAAAAGAATTTGGAATTGACAACAATTGTTTTTCATAAATTCCGAACGTTATGGTGGGGGAGGGGATAATCCTTGTTTAGATGTCAATACCAACCTCTTGGATTTTGTACATTCTCCCTTTCATCTTTAATGGATTCCTTTGTTTGCTATTTTAATGTAATTCTTTACATTAATTTTCTATATTAATTTATATTATCTCAATATAAATATATAATAACTTTGTATAAATAATTTATATTGTTTTATAGACGAATGATCGTGTGAGAATAAGGGTTATGGTTAGAAGTGTAAGAACAATCCGAACCCTTTATCACTTTTAATCTCACTGCTATGTCCATGAATTATGTTTTTCATGAGAACTGATCTGATTCATCTTAATGCATCTCATTAGGTTTGATCTTCAATTAGGATTGATTCAAAACCGAAATCTCCTTCAATGTACATCATCTCATTTGATTATTTTGTTTTATTCAAAAAGTAACGAAAATACTATTAAAATATTATATATTTGTTGATGTAAGGAATATGGGTGCTCAAAAGCCCGACCAACTCAATCAATCTTACGCAACCTAACACGAAATAACTCAACCTAAAACAACCTGATATCTAAGCTAGTTGTAAAATCTTCAAACTGTAAGTATTGTGTTAATATTTGATTACTTTTATTTGAACCCAACCCAACTCGATGAACTCGATTAATCCGATATCCTTTTATTTTTGAATTTTATATGATTGTTGAGTCTGTATTAATATATATACATTAGACAACTACATTATCATGTACCAAATTCACATACATGAATTTTCAACCTACTCTCAAATATTTATATAACTCCTTTATATATATGTTCATATTGTTTATTAACTATGAACATATATATAAAAGGAAGTTCAAAGAAAACCTTTAAAAAACTGAAAAACATTTTGGTAACAATTTATCTGGTCGATATACACATATGTATACTGGTAATTGAAATTGTTTTTTGGTTTTTATACACAAGTTCATATCAGACAAATTGCTTAAAACTACCGGTATACATATATCATCCAGATAAATGATTACCTGAATGTTCCTTACAACACAAGGAAGCACATAAAAGTATAATCCATGGTATCGTAAACTCCAAACTTCCACCTGTTTGTCTTATACGCTACGATATCTGTAACACCCATTGTCACTTACCAGAAACAAAAAAATAATAAGCTAAAACAAAAGAGTTAAACTCAAACAAAAATCCGGAAACTTGAATTCTTAGAATAGGAACTTTTAACAAAAGGCAATAGCAAGACGTTAACAAACGATAATCGAGACGATAAATAACAACCTACTAATCTAGATTTTCTACAACTAGATTATAGACGGGTGTTTCTATCAATCTCCAAAAATTCGGCATTTTCCAGCTTAACGCTCAAGTGAACGAGGCTTTACTACAAAAGAGCCTCTTCACGTAACGAAGCTCCTCTCATCCCGTTTTGGCCCTGCTACTAAAAGAACCTGCTAAACAAGTCATACCAAAATAAGAAGTGTTAGGCTTACGCCTAGTGAGTTCAATTAAATTCGCAAGATACGGGGAAGCCTGAAGTTATAAATATTACAAGTTTAAGYACTGAAAGGTCGCAKATAATTTAAAATATTTCCAGGGGTATTAAACATCAGAAGATGACGGGGGAGACCCGATTTACCGTTGATTAAGACGAACACAAAGTAAGTCGTAAATCACCGTTATAGAGCATCACTTATAGGTTTAAAAACCATCGACATTAACCAAATCCAGTCATTTAGCCATTCGTGATCGTAAGCTCTTTATCTCGGAAATTACATAATAATCACAATGCCTATTTCCGAGTGGTAGTGAAAGGATGACATGGAGGTTACATAATAATCACAATGCCTACCCCCAGTTCACACCATCCTTCACACATAAAAAATAAAACAATATTCGAACCCAAGCTTCATCCCGTTTCAAAATAATTATTTGGATAAATAATAATTGGCATACGAGTACATATAATAATAATCCAACTTCAAGATTTAACCAGAGTCTACCAAAATAGCAAGTATGCTACTACTATCATTAGCAATTAMCGGACGTAAATCATAAGATAATAGAGTTCTCTACATAGAACGCCTACAATTTCTAGATATAATAAGGCACGTATACGACAACCCATACACCATCTTTTCTTCGAGTTATGCCCGTCTTAACACGACCCACTAATAGTCTTTTCACGTAACTTTCTCGTCGTAATTGACATTTCTTAGATAACCAATAAATCCTCATCAACTAATACAAATTTCATGACTTCATATACTAAAGTATCATCATCATCTAATATATGCATTATGCCATTGGATACCAAAATAATCTCATTATCTAATATATGCATTATGACTTTATAACMTCATCATCTAATATATGCATTATGRCTTTATATACCAAAATAACYTCATTATCTAGGTAAATTTCCATAACACTTTATACTAGGAATATTCTTGTATCATGCTAGGGTATCGGAAGCAAGTCTATAGTGTTTTGCAAGTTAACCAATCAAGTCCAAGATGTAACAAACTRAACTCACAGTTGCTGCTRATAGGTGAGAAGAGGAGGCGGATAAACAGCCCCTTTTCTGCTGTTTTGGTCGGCTGCGGAGAGGCGAAAACGCAGACGGCGTCTGTTGCTGTTGGTGATCGATGCGCGCAGGCTGCAGGTCCAAGAGGTGTGCAGGCAGCGCCTGCTGTCGCTGCTGTTGCCGTGGTTGATTTCTGCCGTAGATGAAGAAGAAAACGCAGCAGGACAGCACGGTTGAGCCACCGTTTCCTGCCGCTGTTTGCTGCTGTTTGCTGCAGTCTGCTGCTGCTGCCGGCGAGGGTGAAGACACAGCAAGGCAGCACAGATTGGTTGCTGTTCGCTGCAGTCTGCTGCTGCTGCCGACGAGGGTGAAGACACAGCGAGGCAGCACAGATTGGTGGCTGTTCGGAGCTGAACAAATGGCCGGAGCGTCGGTGGTCGAGGTTGGAGGCGCAGGTGCAACAAGGAGTATGTGGAAGAAGCTAAACTGAGGTTTCTTGCGTGGTTGCAGGTGAGTTAGGTGGGTTTTAGGCCATGCTTTTTATCTGAATCTTCTCATGTCAGCCCATCAGCAGGTAAGGACCTCCAAATAAAACTAAGGTGTCAATCTAAGAATGGGTGGATAGGGTATGGGTTATAGTACCACAGGTAATACCCCCCCCCCCCTTCTTTTTTTTCATTTTTATATTCCTCAATTAATCTCAAGCCTTAGTAATAAATATAAATGTAAAAGTGAAGGATTTCCCTTAGATTCAAACTAGATACACAACTAAAAGTGCCAAACTCCATTTATAAAAACTACATAAGTATAACCATATGCGCATATATTTATATATATATATATATATATATAAAATTTCAAGAATATTAGAAAGTATAAAAATACCTCGTAACGGAAAAGAGAGGAAACTTGACGCTAAAAGGACGATTGGAGACGGCGGGGAAGAGAATTTCAGGGTGTTACAATATCTTTGTTCATTGAAGACATATTCTGTACGTATATTTATATATATACACACGTATATATTTACTGTAAAGCCTTCTTATTTACAGTCTCCCATATGCTGCATCATCCAATGTAATTCGATTGAACTTCGAAAATATCATGAGCAGACTCGAACTAACGATAACTCGGGCCTCGGACTCGGGGTTTTCCGACCCACCATGGCTTTTACGGAACATCATTTGTTCGGTTCCGTACTCTTCTATACAAAAGCCTCGGCTGCGACTACTTGCTTTCTCGGGAGTCTCTAGTTAGTGATGTAGTTCAGTAGAATGTCGAAACAAGAACTTGTCAGATCTGTTTTACGTTTTCCGTAAGCACTGACCGCCTCCGTTTTGTTGATTCTGCCTGTAAATGTTAAAAATAATTTAATGACCGAAACGACAGGTAAAACATCACACGACCAAGAACGATGGACCTTGTTATCGGATTTCGGACGTAACAACTTACCCGTGTCTTACTTCCCGATTTCTTTGGTCTGTGGATGGAATTCAAGGAATATGGTCTCTGGGTCGGCTGATAAAGTCGTCGAATGAACTCCTGTAGATGATTATATATACTGCAAATTCGAAGATACGTATTAGTATTAAACGAAAAAGGAGGCATTTTGTCTCGAAAGTGGTCTTTGTGTGGACTATGTCGATAAACCAGATATGCACGCATAGGTGGATTTTGTTGTTTTCAGGCATCGATAACGCAAGTCATTTCCGAGGCAGAAGATACACGGAAATTTGAAACACAACTCTCCATAGACTGTTGGTTCGAGTTCACGGAGGGGATTGAGGATTTTCCTGGCTGTTATCTTTAATTAGGGACCCATTGGATCAATACATGATGTCATACAATGTTATTCACCATGGTCGTTTACTTGGTTTATTTTCCTAGTTAAGACCCTGATTCTATAATTGCATAGTTGGTGCAATCACACTAACAGCATCTCCAACAAATTCTTCAAAACGGAGAATCAAAAGTCAAAATCTCTGATTAAAATTTTAGGTTAATCTCCTACATCTTGGAGATAAAAATGTTATTTATATTATTAAAATATTCAATATAATTCATAAACTATTATTTCTTTTTTCCAAACATTTAATTTCAAAGATTCTCACTGGTAGGAAAATAAAAACAACCATTTTTTTAACTAAGGGTGGTGCCTGATTAGTTTGAGCTTGACTCCAAAGGTCAAAAGTACCACGAGGTCCCATGTTCAAATCCAATAAGGAATAAAAACTCCCTTGTGGGGTTCAAATGCGATGACTCCACTCACTCCAGGCTATCTGCAAAGCAGGTGGTTGCCCTGGGATTAGTCGGCTCGCATAGCGGGTTGGATATCGAGGTTAATAAAAAAAAATCATTTTTTCCTACGTAATCGTTTTTGGAGACTACTTCAAATTTCGAGATTTTCATCATCTCTTTCCTACTTTCTCCATTTTAGAGAAAGTTATGGAGATTTGTAGGAGCAAAAATCCCCAAAATCTCAATTCGGTTGGAGATGCTTTTAAGACTTGGTAAAGGTAACAATTACATACTTTTAAAGGCATGTGCCTTTTTCATTAATTATAGCCATTTATAATAGATTTCAAAAACCATTTGCCTTTTTCATTAATCATAGACATTTATAATAGATTTAAAAACCGTTTGCCTTTTTAATTCTGGATATTTACGATTTATTTTTCGGACGGAGAGAATAGCATATTGACCCATTAACCGAATGAAGTACCAAGATGCTAGTATATGCATGGAAAAACAAATGTAATTACCTAAGAAATTGCATCCAAGTTACAGGTCTCACCTTAGTCGATGCCTATTGCAAGCTGTGAAAAATGCAACGAACCCATTTAAAATGCTCCTAACAGCCCGGAAAATCTACAAGATTGGAACTTCAATAAGCACAGGAACAGTAGATGAAACCTGATAACAGGATACGTGAAAGTAGAAGAAAATAAGAGGCATGGAAAGCACCACCTGCGAGAAAAGGTCATTCCAAAGGGAATGCCACATGGCAACCTCGTAAGAGCTCACACTTGTCTCGGCATTCGAAGCTAACTTGAATATGTCACTCACAAACAGCCATAAACCTCCAAGGATATCATACGTGTTCTTAAAGACAAATCCCACAAAATTTGATAATCCGAGAATAAGGCGAATTGGAGCATAGACTATCTCCAAAAGGAACCAGAGTATGGGGTACAAGATCGCGGTTCCTGCAAATAAATCATGGTAAAATTCAGAGTAAGCAACATTCCTCAAACGATCATGCAGCTTAAACAGGTTCATTTGAGAACCGTGAGAACCAACTATTCATGATGAAGGAATATGTAAGCATGTTCATCATGAATAGTTCTGAATATTCATCATGAATAGTTGGTTCTGAAAATATTTATGGTTCCTAAATGAACTTTTCTATAGTAATCCACCAATGAAACTATTAACTTACCAATCATCCAAATGATTGATGAAATGAAATACACAGGCAACAGGATGATCTCAATTAGATTCTCCACTAGATTCCAAAAGGTTGCCATCAGAATCCAAATGAATGAGCAAAGATACTCGGCCATCTGGATGAAAACGTTCCAAACAGGAAGGAGGACCTCCAAGACCACCATAAATGGCGGAGCTAAAGGCTGCGTGAGAACTGAAACACTTGATCGTACAGTACGTGTCATCATCAAGAACCACTTAACAGCCTTCTCAAAGTTATGTAAAAACAACATAGTTCCCAAGTACTTGATCCTTGATACCATCTCCCATGTTTCTATCCAGCCGAAAAGAGGCCCACATAAACGGGCAGCAGTCGCCTTAAGAACAGGGACGTTTTTGTACAAATCATAGAAACCAATGACAACCGTAACAAGGGAAATCACGACGTATAATGCTCTTGCCAGAGGGCACATCCACGGACGATAGATGTGACAAAATACCGGATAAGACTGAGAGAAAATAACCCAAGATGGAAGCCCAGCCTCCAATAAAGTAAGCAACCGCAAATCAGACATAATTATCTTCTGTAATTCAAAGGGAAGATCACGATCATTGAAACGAAACAAAAGCAATACATCTCTGTATTGGGTAGCTTCATCCGCTTCTTCACAATCACTTGCATATGAGGAGGGTAATTGTCTGCCAACACTTTCACTGTGAGCTTCTTCAGTATGGAAATCGGACTCGATGTCCATACCCAACAAATTCATTAGTTTTCTTCTCTTATTTAGCCCGTTGCATATACTTACTTGGTCCTCTAAAATTTCTGGTTGCTCACCAAGACTGCTACTAGGAGTGCAGCAATATTCATCCTCTTCCATGTGCAAATTAACATTCGAGAGTTTTTCATCATCATCTCTACCGTGGAGGTTGGGAAAATCCACAGGAGCATCATGAAACTCGTCTCCTGCAGATATCTCAAGAAAAAAATCCATAAGATATCTTGGAGGAGGTTATGGGTTCAAAGGCCAAGATGTAAGCTGCTCCGTGACAACCACATAGACTAATGTATTTATCAGATGCATGAAAGGGCACCAACACCAAATAGCATCAAGCTTAAAAGTCAAAAGAATTGATGGGTCAAAGAAAGATCAAGAACCCTTAATCAGATATTCAAAAACCAGGTTGCTTATTTTCCTCCGTATTCCACGTAAGGCGAGATAAGGGGAAAAAGAAGACCTCACATGTCGCGCTCGTGGGTTGAAGTATGCTCTTCTTATTCTGGGGACAATAAATTTTGTTATTATACATGAGATAAACTATAATGGAACCCCCCAAAGGGAAGGAAATGCATGTCCTCAACTCAACAAACTCCAAGTTAACAGTATCCCATAAATGACTATTAAAAGATCACATACTAGGGTAATGCAATATAGCAACAGGCCATAAAATTGATTAAAATTTAACGAAACCTATGTTGCGTATGCAATAAAGGGACATAACACCACTAAACAGAGGCATAATACGGACCAATGCAATATGGATAATTGGATTTCAATGTTACCCAACTTGTGATCATCAGAAGCTGCCAACTCCACTCAAATGTTAAAACCTCTTTTAAACTTGTTAGAATAAGTGGAATCCCTTTGAATCTCTCTCTAACACCCCCTCAAACTCGAGGGTTTAGGTTGAAACGAATTGAATTTGAAAACAAGGGCCAAAAAACATCCTAGGAGCTGAGCTTTAGTGAAAGCATCTATAGTTGATTGATTAGAGAGATAGGAAGAAGGTGAACGGCCTTGCCAACCACATGCTAGCAAACAAAATGACAATCAATCTCAATGTGTTTGGTACGTTGATGAAATACGTCGTTGTGGGAGATCTAAATAGACTCATTTTGTCACAATAGATGAACGAAGACTTTGGAACACCCTTATTAGATAAAAGCCAACAAAGCGGGTAAGTTTCTGAGTAGTATAAGCAAATGCATGATACTTAACTTCAGTAATAGAGCAGTCAAGAACTGTTTTTACTATGCTAGGAAATAAATGAGTTGAAAAGTTAGAAACAATATACGGTAGTAGATTGACGAACAGTCAAATCGTCATCCCAAGCAACATCTAAATAACCTTGAAGCCCCAAAGAGGATGTAGAGGAGAAATAGAGGCCATGAAATATATTGCCCTTTGAGATACATGAGAATCTGAATGACGACTTCATAACCATCAGTATCTCATGGAGCAGCTCCAAAGAAACATAGTTCTTCCCATACAATTTCTTTCTTTTCTTGAATTGGTTCAGTTACTCTTCCAATTATACAACGGCATAGACCACAAGATTTGAGGTGAATTCCCATGTGACAGCTCCAAAGAAACACAGTTCTTCCCATCCAAGATAACGACAATGGGACGGTGATGAATTGAAGTGTTCTCTGAAATGATTGATGAAGTTTGGATTGGATGGAGCCATCAAACGGAGAGGAGTACAAAAGATCGAATTTGAGGGAAATAATGAATACCAAATTCATAATGGCAAAGTTCGAAAGAAGGCCATTCAAAGCTTTCTTTGTTTTTCACCCAGAAATTCCATCAAACAGTTGGTTTGCATCATCAAATTTCACAAACCAACCAAGATTGTAAGTTCAACTAACCTGTTGAGACATCGTCATATTTGGAAGCCAATCATAGTGGTTGGTGGGTGCAGCAAAACGGCAGAAAAAGACGTGATGGTGGGTGCAGCAAACAACATATATAGATAGATCTCAATGGTGCTACTGCTGGAAGTCGATATATTAACCAAACAGAAAACTTGAAATGATGATGAGTATGGTAATAGATAGAACATGCCAAAAAGTCGTGATTAATCACATGAATGCAACACAATAAGCTCACACTCTTCGTTATTCGTAGCAAGTAAGACAAGAAATCAAGCCAAATGCCATTAAATTTAGGAACGTAACACCAAACAAGATTCATTGATTTAAACATATTTTATGTAAACTTATTACCTATCATAGAGTTGAGCTGCTCTTCCAAGCGAGAACACTCGCATGGTGTCCCTGGAAACCATGAAGCTATGCCTTTAGCAGCTTCACCAATACTATCAAATTCCCATCTTCTCATATATTTCGCTTCTATAGCAAGAGAAGTATCAGTCTGCTCATAAAAATAAACCCATTTAAATGCCACTCCGTACAAGACTGCATTTTGGTGCCCATTTAGACCGCTACACGTATGGCTGTAAACGAACTGAACGAACACGAACGGAGGCTTGTTCATGTTCGTTCGTTTAACTTAACCGAACAAACGAACGAACACGAACGGTAAACGAACGAAAATATTTGTGTTCGTGTTTGTTCGTTTAAAAATCAGGTGTCTTCGTGTTCGTTCATTAACATGCTAAACGAACGTAAACAAACGAACACAAACAAACGGGCTAAACGAATATAAATAAATATTATTTGAATTCAAAGTAAATAAATAAAAGATTATATATATATATATTTTTTTTTTTTTTTTTGATTAACCTGAATATCCAATCCGCTATGCTAGCCGACAAATCCCAAGGCGACCACTAGTTTTGCTGGTAGCCCGGAGTCACCGCATTTGAACCTCCGTGACCACAAGATGATTTTTATTCCTCCTTGATATATAAAGGAACATAGACGACCGAACGTTCACGAACATAAATGAACGAGAAACTCTTATTCATGTTCATTCGTTTAACTAAACTTTGAAATTAAATAGTTGCTTTTAATTTTGAAATAAATTTGGTAGTTATTCCTTGGGTGGATTCACATATTGGGCTTAATAAATCCAATCCCCAAGCACAAGTAAACTTAGGTCCAAAGTTTTGGAGGAACGGATCAAAAACCAAGATTAACATGTTAATAGACCCATTGACAAGTCCCGTCTGGGAATCAAAGTACATATAGAAAAAAAAACAAGATGCGAAATACCTGAAGTTCGTTCGAATAGTTGATGCCACGTACATCGTTCCAGGCCACTTGGAAAACAATAAATCCATACAAGGTCCTTTGCAATTTGCTATTTGCAAGCAAGGAACTCCGGAGTTTCTTGACTGGTAACAATGCCCTCTTTCTTGAGAGTGTTGCGGCATCGATTACCAAGAACCATCTCCTTAACGTTTCTGATGGGGTCGGAGTTTCGTGACAGAACTTCAACTCACTGAAATCCGGTGTCTCTTTCCTACCCTTCCGCACTTTTGTGATCGCAAAAGGCGACATCCGAGACTGAAACCATAATCAAGAAGAAAATCATGACTTTTTGGCAGATATTGTCATACTTCCATACAACCTTGGTAACCAACCAAAGGGTCAGTGGCCCATGGGTGCTCGGGTTACCAGTAGAACCCCAACTCCCGGAGGCTCATTCAAACCTCAACGAAGATGAGGAGCGTAAGTGAGTATTTATTGTATATAAATGTTGTATACTTCAAATAAAAAACCTTGGTAACCATCAACTGCCACAGGTGTGCAGGCCGTGACGCCAAGTTTTCCAGCCATGGCCTATTATCCACCAATACATAAAATGTCTTGCTATCGGGTGCTAAGAAAAGGCCAAGACCTGAAAGATACGACTGCAAGTCTCTGTAAAAAAGAATAGAATGATACCATAATTAAATCAACAGTACGAATTCAATCTAAAAATGGTCAAAGTGTTCTGCAATCGACTTATGAAGGCATTAGATATCAAGGATATTGCCATCGGTACATAAATTTAAATACAAGAACCAGCCTTATCGTGGTTTCTACGATTACGTAAGCCAAATTTCTTTTCTTTCTCGTCCGATAAGAGGATGGTAACATGTGGGTTAACCTCTTGTCTAATAAGAGGACCATGCAAGGTTTTAAACTCGAAGGAAAAAAAAAGAACGTTCTTATAAATCGAACATCTTACTCAGTAAGTGCTGAATCTATAAGAGGTATTTTCCATAAAACAAACAACACCTTGGCTTGATTTCTACACTTTGCCTTGGATGAACATTTTGTAAGAGAAGGTAGAAACTAATTTCAAGTTTCCAACTACTTCCATCTTTATACCAGTACACCACAAACAGAACAGTTCTAATTTGTGCCAAATTTGCAGCAAATATCTTCATCCTTCTTTTCCAGGGTGCATTAGACAAGATACCATGCTAACATACACTAAAAGACTGTTTACCAAACACTAATTAAAGGTAATTACCAAGAATTCCACTCGGTAAAAGGCATAGCGATGACCAAGAATCTTGTCTGATAATCGGTGAAGAAGACCGCTACCGGCAAAATCATAAAAAAACATTTACCAATAGACACCGGTAAGCAGGGACGGACCTGTGCATATGGTGGCATGTGCCACCGTATTATTCCTCCGTCGAAAATGGTAAAAAAATGTAGGTTCGTGAAAGATGCAACCGTGTTAATCTGTTGTGTGCCACCATATGTATTTTGAAACCACAAGAAGAACAAGTTTTATTTGATAGAGTTGATTTGCAACTTGCAAGGCTTTTATTCCACCCGACCCAAGTTCAAATCATGTTAGTGTCATTTTCTTAGTCAAATTACGTCAATGTTTAGAAGAACTTATGTACATTTATTTCTTACAGTCAAATGATGCCCACTATTTTGAAACTTTTTCCCTATATTTTTTTCTTACGGTCAAACAGTGCCACTGTTTTAAAAAATTCCTCCGAGTCCTAAACGTTTAGCAATATCTATACTATATTATAAAGCATTTGGCTAAAACTCTTAAAAACTCTTAAAACTCTTAAACTCTTAAAAACTCTTAAACCCGTTCATACCTATCCGATTTCATCCCATATCTAAATTCGTATAACTAACTGCAGATAAACACAATCAAATACAGGATAAACATCTCATTTTAAATATAAAAAATCTAAAATATAAT